TTTTATAAGGTTTTCGAATGTGTATAAACATCGGATTCGATAAAAAAAATGTTGCTGTTATTTACTGGTGTGTATAGGTTTATTACTAACCGAAAGTATCAGTAAAATACTAACCGAAAGTATCCTGAAACCAAGCCCCTGTAGAATAACATCTTCTGATGTCGCTTACTTTATAGGTTAATTTTAGAGGTAATATTTGAAGACGCTTCAGGATCTCTGGAGCTCTACTCACACATGCGTGGCACCACGCCGATGATTGTAAAAATTCAATTCATCAGAACTCGGGTCATTTTTTCAAACATCTAGCTGAAATTTGGAATATACACCAATACAAGTCTTATGAATAACATGTCCTCTTATGTCGCTTACTTAAGTATTTGTTCCCCTTCCCCTCAGGATGTTTCTGACCAAAATTTGGTAAAAATCTGCTCAGTCGTTTATGACAAGTAGCAATTTTTAGGAAAAGTTGCCGGACGCCGCGCCATGGCATAAGCTCACTTGCTCTTCGGGCAGGTGAGCTAAAAACGTATACGTTTACTATACGGAACTGGGGTTTGGTTCCCAGTTCCGTTTAAGTAAAAACGTAACTGGAGTTTGAATCTCAGTTCCGTATCAGACCAATTACTTTATAGAGGCTATGGTGGTCTTAATTTTCGTGTGAAAGGTTGTGGGTTCGATTCCTGTCCTTGATTCAGATATAAATACGGGCCTTTGACCTTCCGTTTTGCGAAGCAGACGGGGAAAGAATTACAAAAAACGTAAACGTTTACTATACGGAACTGGGGTCTGGTTCCCAGTTCCGTTTAAGGTAAAACGTAACTGGAGTCTGACACTCAGTTCCGTATAAGACCAATTACTTTATAGAGGCTATGGTGGTCTTAATTTTCGTGTGAAAGGTTGTGTGTTCGATTCCTGTCCATGATTCAGATATAAATACGGACCTTTGACCTTCCGTTTTGCGAAGTAGACAGGGAAAGAATTACAAAAAAAACATATACGTTTACTATACGGACCCCGGTCTGGTTCCCAGTTTCGTTTATGTTAAACGGAACTAGGGTCTGGTTCCTAGTTCCGTTTACCTTAAACGGAACTGGGGTCTGGATCCCAGTTCCGTTTAAGGAAAAACGTAACTGGAGTCTGACAATCAGTTCCGTATAGGACCAATTACTTTATAAAGGCTAGGGTGGTCTTAATTTTCGTGTGAAAGGTTGTGGGTTCGATTCCTGTACTTGATTCAGATATAACTACGCGCCTTTGACCTTTCGTTTTTCGAGGTAGACAGGGAAACAATTACAGAAAACGTAAACGTTTACTATACGGAACTGGGGTCCGTTTGCATTCGATTATGGTAGTTATAAGTAATTTGTTTGAAGGGTCTTGAGTCGTTAAGGTCGCGTTTCGTGATAACAATTGTCGGATAAGTTTAACATATTATGAGTATATGACTACGCAGGTTTCTAAGGCTAGGGTCAGACCATGTCATAGCTATGTCACTTCAATAATGTTCATCAATTGTAAAAAAGTAATATATACTAGCGGGATTTAAAAATTTGTAGGTCAATCCTTTGTGCCAACAACAGGAAATGCCAATGTATGACTTTGTAAGTGGTCACGTAGTCGAACGAACTCCACTGTTGCCGGGCCTTTAAATACATGTACACGGTAAATCTATAGTCCTTACGCAAAATTTAAAAAAAACTGCTATGAAGGATAAGACTGGGTTTCAGGGTCATGAGACAAGATTTTATGTTTTATGATATAGAGAAACGCCCTTCTTTACTCATTCATTTTACAAGCTATCATCTGCATATCTCTTCTCATAATTAAATAATTATTCCGATTCATACATCTTACGACGCACTTGATTGCGCGACGCACTTTATTGCATATGACTACTTCTAAACCGTCGAAATCTTCACACAAACGCATTTCAATGCACAGTACCTACAAATAAATGTGATGGTACATTTAGTATCACTGATCGGTGTTATAACACAATTTCTGCATACTTTACATAATTCATGGAGATATTTCAAATAAGCCTTCAAACCAAAATCGGCTTCGCTTTATATAGCTTATCTGCTTTATTAGGGTTGTCAACGGTTAACTGGTTACTCGGTAACTCGGTCGGAAGACCAATCCGGTTTACAAAATCAATAACCGAAAAGTCGGACAGTTACTTACCCCTTTGGGGAGCCCCATGTTTCCCTGGCTTAGACTTACAAACTATCTATAGAAAAGCGACCATAATTTGATAGTTTTGTAATAAAAACAGTGTACATGTTAGTGTTGTTTTTGTACTCTATCTCTATTGTAAATATTGACAAAGACATTCGTACAGCACCATACAAAACCTGAACAGATTTAAAAAAGGAAACCAGAGTTCTAAGTTTTGATATATCAAATTTAAGAAGAAAAATTCGCTTTTGCATGCGAGATGTAATATTACTAAAGAGTATACACTTAAATGAGCAAGAATGTCTTTAAACGTTTGTCGATTAAATTTTGTTTTAAAGCACAATGAAATATGCGAGATTTGGTGTCCAAAGACATCTTGAGATGGCCGAGTGCAGAGTGCAAGAATTTGGTCACTGTGACCTATGACTTGACCTTTGACCTTCACTTCTGAAAAAGTTTGTCCGGGACATATCTTCTGTACTATTTCACCTGGAGTAACCAGGTTTGATGAACAAGGACATCTTGGGATGGCCAGTGCAGAGTGCAAAAATTTGGTCACTGTCACCTATGACTTGACCTTAGACCTTCACTTTTGAAAAAGTTTGTCCGGGGCATATCTTTTGTACTATTTCACCTGGAGGAACCAGATCTGGTGTACAGGTTCATCTTGGGATGGCTGAGTGCAGAGTGCAAGAATTTGATTACTGTGACCTATGACATGACCTTTGACCTTAACTTTTGAAAAAGTTTGTCCGGGACATATCTTCCATAACTATTTCACATGGAGTAACCAGATTTGGTGTACAAGGACATCTTGGGATTGCAGAGTGCAAGAATTTGGTCAATGTGACCTATGACTTGACCTTTGACCTTATTTTTTGAAAAAGTTTGTCCGGGACATATCTTCTGTACTATTTCACCTGGAGTAACCAGGTTTGATGAACAAGGACATCTTGGGATGGCCAGTGCAGAGTGCAAGAATTTGGTCACTGTCACCTATGACTTGACCTTTGAACTTAACTTTTGAAAAAGTTTGTCCGGGGCATATCTTCTGTACTATTTCACCTGGAGTAACCAGATTTGGTGTACAAGGACATCTTGAGATTGCAGAGTGCAAGAATTTGGTCATTGTGACCTATGACTTGACCTTTGACCTTATTTTTTGAAAAAGTTTGTCCGGGACATATCTTCTGTACTATTTCACCTGGAGTAACCAGGTTTGATGAACAAGGACATCTTGGGATGGCCAGTGCAGAGTGCAAGAATTTGGTCACTGTCACCTATGACTTGACCTTTGAACTTAACCTTTGAAAAATTTGTCCGGGACATATCTTCAATACTATTTCACATGGAGAAAACAGATTTGGTGTACAAGGTTATCCTGGGATGGTGGAGTGCAGAGTGAAAGAATTTGGTCACTGTGACCTATGACTTGATCTTTGACCTTAACTTTTGAAGAAGTTTGTCCGGGATATGTCTCTTGTACTATTTCGCCTGGAGTAACCAGGTTTGATGAACAAGGACATCTTGGGATGGCCAGTGCAGAGTGCAAGAATTTGGTCACTGTCACCTATGACTTGACCTTTGAACTTAACTTTTGAAAAAGTTTGTCCGGGGCATATCTTCTGTACTATTTCACCTGGAGTAACTAGATTTGGTGTACAGGTTCATCTTGGGATGGCTGAGTGCAGAGTGCAAGAATTTGATTACTGTGACCTATGACATGACCTTTGACCTTAACTTTTGAAAAAGTTTGTCCGGGACATATCTTCCATAACTATTTCAGATGGAGTAACCATATTTGGTGTACAATGACATCTTGGGATTGCAGAGTGCAAGAATTTGGTCAATGTGACCAATGACTTGACCTTTGACCTTAACTTTTGAAAAAGTTTGTCCGCGGCATTTCTTCTGTACTATTTCACATAGAGTAACTGGATTTGGTGTACAAGGACATCTTGGGAATGGCCGAGTGCAGGGTGCAAGAATTTGGTCTCTGTGACCTATGACTTGACCTTTGACTTTCACTTTTGAAAAGTTTGTCCGGGGCATATCTTCTAAACTATTTCACATGGAGTAACCAGATTTGGTGTACAAGGACATTTTGGGATGATGGATTGCAGAGTGCAAGAATTAAGTCGGCCTAGCGTGTCATATATAACATTGGGGTTTTTCCCCCCGAGACAAATCTCCATTCGATCTTAAACGGCTCTGCCGGAAATAAAACGGAAAATTAAAATGCGTGTCAGCCGTATTGCAAGGGTAATATTCAGATTGAAATACACACCTTAAACCATGTAATAATTAAAGCTGATCATGAATTCCTGGTGGCCCTCCAGCTAAGTATAGCTAAACTCGTGGCAATGAAAAGTAAATAAAACAGATACTAATTGCTTGTAGTGAAATAGAATAATTACCTTAAAATAGTGTAGCACCCAAACTCGATTGTATGAGGTTTTAAATTATTGTTTATGAATACATCAAAATATTTTTCTAGAGTAATCAGAATTTAGGAATTGTTTCCTATTTTGCTAGTGTATTAGGGTACAGCGGTAGATTATGTTTTAAGTTTGATTGTAGTTATTGAAAATATAATAAAGGTACACATTTTCGTCGTTATTAAGCTTGTTGACTTTATGCAGTAAAAGCAAGCATCGTTGCTTCAATTGCACTTTAAGGTTACATGATAAACACTAATTTGTAAGCACAAATATATTTTATTAACATGTAGCACTTGACAACTAAAACTATACAGTTTGAAAAATGACTTTGTATATCATTACTCCAGTGGATCATAATTACTTTTGTTACATGATTTTTAGATAGAGTTAACGTCCCCCATACAGCAAAGGTCATTTGAGTACGGGTGTCCGGAGAGCACCTATCAGCCCCGGGGGTCAGTCAGGGCTACTGACAGGAAAGTGTTGGGAAGCAGCGAGAAAAAAGCGATGCCAACGGTTGCACCACGGACAGCAGACTACGCTTGGATCCTTTAATGTCCCATAGGCAAAACCATAGGAAGAACACAATACTACAGGGGGTCCAAGGTTAGTGGAGGTTTATAATAACATGGTGTGGGACAGAGTAGGCCTTTTCTGTTCCAAAAGCGTTCCTGACACAACCGTGTTCACAGGTCAAATATTCGACATAGGAACGATACAGGTTATGCTACCCTATTTGATATTCATCGTACAGTAGTTGTGCTTCATTATGTGTGTTAAGAAACTGTCTGAAAATTTTATTTATATTTTTTTATATTTATTTATATGCAGTTTCACCTGATTAGACGACATATTCCACAGTTTTGCAGCAACAGAAACAGCTTGAAATTTGATCACGCATAGAAGACGATGGTGCCGCACTGTTTTCGACCTTGTAAGCGGAATTGGATTGAGAAGTTCTTCTTAGCTGTTGTGACGTTTTCTTTTTTCTGGTATATCGGATTAAATGATGTGTGGAGTCAGTTGGTGAAATCGGATCAGGGTAAGTCTATCGATTTGTATAGAGACAGCTCCATCAATTATTCATCGCATATTGTGTTCAGATATTTGCAACATGTNTCGCGAGGCCCATTAGGGGATATGTAAATATTTACTGCATATGTACATGTTTTTCTTATTAAAGTTGGAGACGTTTGATAAAATCTTGCTCCAAGTGGGTGCAAGACTCGCAAACGCTAGCACGGAAACTTGACAGAAATATTTTTTGGGCTTCAAATGGGGAAGAAGATTACAATGTACATCTGAAAACAAGAGGCCCATGGGCCTTAACGGTCACCTGATATATTTATACCGAGAGTTGATTTTGTTTTTAACACGAACAGAAATATTATTCAAAGTGACAAAAAAAACAATAAAACCACCTTATTCAATATCTAGCATACAGATTTCAGACTAAAAAAGTATTTGAAACTAGCACCTCTGATTCTAAACAAGTAAAATAAAGAAATTTTAGCACACTGACCCCTTTGGGGCCCACCCTACAGCCCTTGGGGGTAGGGCTGGCTCAAAATGTCCATAGTATCAAACTGTCAACTCAGGGTTATAATTCCAATCAAGTTATTAATATGATATATTAAAAGTATCATTTGCCATTATAAACCATAATACATTTTGCCCCTACCTCTCTTTCCCCAGGGGGTAAACGTGAGACCCTAGGGTCCTAAACCTTAAGACCCTTCCATCTATGAAGAGTGTTTGATTCTACCATATCTGGGTCTTTGAGAAGAAGATTTTTGAAATTTCAGTCAATTCAACCCTTTTTGGCCCCTCCCATCAGCCCCGGGGGTCAGTCAGGGCTGATATGTGCATACCATCAAACTGCTATCCAATACTGATAATGCTAACCCAAATTGAATTACTTCCAATGGTAATTAAACAAATGTTGGTCCAAAATGTGATTTCCCTATATAAACTATAGTAAAGTTTACCCCCTCCCCAAGGGAAAACGTAATACCCCAGGGTCATAAAATTCACAATTTTGGTGGAGCACCTTTAGACCCTTCCATCTATGAAGAGTGTTTGATTCTACCATATCTGGGTATTGAGTAGAAGATTTTTGAAATTTCAGTCAATTAAACCCTTTTTGGCCCCACGCATCAGCCCCGGGGGGTCAGTCAGGGCTCATATATGCATACCATCAAACTGCTACCCAATACTGATAATGCTAACCTAAATTGAATTACCTCCAATGGTAATTAAACAAATGTTAGTCAAAAATGTGATTTCCCTATATAAACTAAAGTAAAGTTTACCCCCTCCCCAGTGGGAAAAGTGAGACCCAAGGGTCATGAAATTCACAATTTTGGTAAAGCACCTTAAGACCCTTTCATTTTTGTTGACCTTTGGCCATGCAAGGTTTCTGCAAAATTTTATTGAAATTGGTTCAGGGGTTTTGGATAAGAAGTCGAAAACGTAAATTGTTAACGGACGCACGACGGACGACGCCGGACAAAAGGCGATCGCAATATGTCACTTGAGACTGACCTAAAAATATATCTATTTCATATGAGGTGAATACGTATACATGCATGACCTATCAATGTTAAACATGACACCCTATTTACCAAGGATACTAACCCTATGTTTGGATACGTTTAATTACATTTGTATGACAAAATTACTACTTTTGAATTTTATTTTCCCGTTTTCCATTTTACTTTTGAATATTTGCATACAGAGTTTAAGGTATCCATTTCAACATTTATCACTTTCAGGGCAAAGAGGCGTCCTTCAGCGATTACAGAACAAGGTACAGCATATCTTAGACAGTTACAATATATATTTAATACTATTTAACAGATACAGATTACATGTTGTTATGTCGTTTAACAGGTTAAGTTTCATGTCACCGTGCAAAAAATGGTGTTAATAATTAAATAATGTATATGTATTACTCTGGATAGGAAACTGGAACAATACATGTTATCGTGCTTTTAGAAAAATAGAAACAATCAACGAAGGCCTCTCTGGTCTGAGTTCATTATTGAAACTATGAATGTTTAGCAAGTGTTGGTATGGTCTTATAACACATATTGCTATTGATGACAAACTTAATAAAGGCCGGTACGGCTTTATGTAAGTTTGTCAGCAATAAAAATGTGTGTTATAGGACCATAACAATATTCGCTAGACTACTCATTTTTTATAATTTCATTTTGATAGAGTAGTTATGCTTTATTTAGTTATTTCGAACATTTTTTAACAGAAAATCAGGTGTTGAAAACAATGAAATTGATGACGCCACACTAAAGATGGATGACGTTACTATAGCAAATGTTGTTATAGTCTCATAACAACATTTGCCTTCACAATGTATTTCAATTGAAGGATGCAGATAAAGTGTAAATATTGTTTTCAATAATTTGCGCTTCCCGAGTTATATCTTCTCAATTTTATCTGGCTCATGAGTATGTAACAGGTAAAATTGTACTAATCATCAAGCTGTTGTCAAACAAACACGTGTTTTTGCTTTTCACATATCACATATAATCACATACTAGGATGTATCAAATGTTCCTGTGCTCTGTCCCCACCCCTCATCATGTTAAATTGTCCTGGTGTTGAAAAAGTCAACAGGTAAAATCAAAACCTTAAAAAATCAGGCGAAAGTAAATGAATTTGAAATGTTAACGTGTGGTATTGGACTAGTTGTACTAGATATCGTCTACCATAAATAAATGCAACATAATTAAACTTGACATGACGTCCTGACTGTTTATTTCTTTAACACAGGATATTAGTATTCCTAGTATTCAATGAAGTTTTACATAAAGGTGTGGTTAATCCATGTTACATCGGACCTGGTATCGCATTAGATGGTACCTACGTCAAGCCTGCGAGGTATTAAAGGATTTGCTTGGTGTTATTTTGTTTAACGTCCTATTAACAGCGAAGGTCATCTCAGGACATGCCTCCATAAATTATGAATGTCAAGCAGCATTACAATAAGAGGGATTGCCACCTTTATTTCCAGATGTTTATAGATGGTTTAACTATTGCAATACCCTCCTGTCTTACTCCGCTACGTGGTGTCAATAAAACGTGTGTTACTACAGTAAAACTATCGAAATACATCCGGTGAAAGAATGACAAATACTTATTTAATTTAGAACTGTAATAAATCACACATTTTATAACATCACAGATTGTATATGTGATTTGCAGTTCATTTGTCCTGGTTATTCACCTGCCTATTGCTGTTTACATTAGCTGACACTCTAGAAATGAACAAGGTGAAGCATCAATAATTGTTGCTACGTCACCACTAAACGTGTTCATAAACACACGAGTGTATTACGTATTTTATCAGTAGGAAGTGTGCATGACATATTGTGACTTGTCATTCCATTATCGCAATAGGGCAAATGCATCGACATTCCGCCTGAAAAATACACACACGTATACATAACACATAATGAGTCACGTCCTTACATAACTTCAGCTGTTAATAGGACGTAAAACAAAACAAAAACACACTTTTGAATAAAGGTGCGTTCTTATTGTACATGTGTATCAAAATTTATGTCAGTGTTTGATATGATTCTAAAATTGGGATTAAAAAGAATCCCACTTGTTGCTAGACGATAACTACAGACGTAGAACAATACCTTTACTGCTTGTTTTGTCCTGTTACAGTTCTCGCTCTCAGACCTCCTGTCAGACCAGACAAACGTTCCCGCTATCAGGTTGATTGGCCATCCACGACAACACAACGGTAATTATTGTACTGAATTCCGACTAGTTATCATGATGTCGTGAATGACATTGCAAACAAAATTAAGATGAGCTTGTTTGATGAGAGTTTATTGTTAAGAACTTAAAAACTTACGAAGCGTGTGTTTGTTTTGGTTTTATAGGGGTTTAACGTCCGATTAACAGCCGGGCTTATTAGAAGACGTGGCTTCACTTGTGTAATGCGATAGCGCTGAACTGAAATATCAGGCCGATATCATCCGGCATAACATTCCGCATGGTCACATTATACTGACAACGGTTGAACTAGTTGTTGCCATTTCCATTTTAAGAGCTTTGTTACGTCACGGCCTGGGAATAGAACCCCAGCAAAGCATTGCAAAGCACTAAGAAACGCAAGGTTGTTAGAAGTGGTGAAAAATATAAAGATCCCAACAATTACAATAGGTGCAGAATTTTTATTTTTGTCGTTTTTTGTCCACAAGTAGAAGATACAAACACAAATCCTCGATTCTGCAGGTTTGGTTTGGTTTTGTATTGTTTAACGTCCTATCAACAGCTATGGTCATTTAAAGACGACCTCCCCATGTGTGCAAGATGCATGCGTGTAGTGTATGCGTGTGTGTTTTGGGAGGCTGCGATATATTCGTGTTTGTCTCCTTTTGATAGCCCAGACACCCAGCAGGACACCCCACCCGGTCAAATTATACTGACAACGGGCGAACCAGTCGTCCCACTCTTAAATTGCTGAGCATTACACAGGAGTAGAAACTACCATTTTTGCAGTCTCTGGTATGTCACCGGTTACATTATACTGACAACGGGCAAACCAGTCGTCCCACTCCTAAATTGCTGAGCGTTACACAGGAGTGAAAACTACCATTTTTGCAGTCTCTGGTATGTCTCGGCAAGGGACAGAACCTAAAGCCTTCCTCACAGGGGCGAACGCTCAACTAAAGGCCAAAAGTGACAAATTACGAAGAAGAAAGTTGGTCAGAAAGAAGAGAAAAGATAAGATCCCAAATTTAGTCGCCACTTACGATCATGCAGTGGGGGCATTAGGTACATTAATTCTGCAGGTAGCTCCTGTGTTATTCCATGTTATGTTGGTTGGTATAATCTTCTCGTGGGAAATACCAAAATATTTTGTTCTATGTCAACATTTAGAGCCAACATTCTATATGATATACTATGATCGATAATATATGGTGATAATGGCGATGATGCAGCATTCACAATTTAAACTAAGTAGGACTTAAAGTTTTATGTCTTCATTATTCCAAAGACAAGAAAGTTATAAAACGTAAGAATAAGTGCCTATACGGCAATAATTTCCAGATTTTCTCTTTAAACGGGATTCAAAGATATTCTATGCGAAATTACAATGCAAATACTTGATTTGTGGTCTATAAGGGGAGGTAATCAGTACCGATTTCAAACCTTGATATATACTTTCAAAAATATAACGTAAAAACTAGGCAAACAATAAGCACACTGGAGTGAGCAGCACTAATTGATTTTTTTATCTTTAAACAATGATTGACATATATTTTTACTATCGTTTAGTGTTCCTGACCATTGGGATACCAACAGTGTGCCGTGAACATCATAGATACCTACACACGACACTTACTTCGATTATAAACAACACTGCACTGACTGACCAGGAGAGAATTCACATCGTAGTCGCTGTGTCTTACTTAAATGAGACATGCGCACTTGAAGTAAAAGACACTATAAAGGAACTATTTAATACCCACGTGGACTCAGGACTGGTAGAGTTAATAGGGATACCAGTGGAAGCATATCCTCAAATACGCAACCTCCGAAGGACATTTAACGACGAGGAGTACCGAGTGCAATGGCGATCAAAGCAAAATATAGATTATTCATTTTTAATGAATATTAATGCATACAGGGGCAAGTATTATATTCAATTGGAAGATGACGTCACAACAGTGCAAGGGTATTTGCAAGAAATCGAAAAGTATATCGAGGAGACAATTGAATACTGGGCAATACTCGAGTTTTCTTCTCTTGGCTTCATCGGGAAGTTGTTTCGTTCTTCTGAACTACAGAAGATGGCCAGTTTGTTACGTAACTTTTATTCTGAACAGCCTTGTGATTTTTTAATGGTTCACTTCATGCATTTGATGGTGCAAAAAGGTCGATTTGTAAAGATTCCAACTCTGTTTCAACATCACGGATTGCATTCTTCTTTACCAAATCTTCTTCGAAACGTCTCGGATAAGTTCTACTCAATGGGTGAGAAAACTCTGAATGGCGATAATCCAACCGCAAACATAAATTCATCCTTAAGAACATACGGTGCCTATCACCCGATGAACGCATATGATAATAACGAGAAGAGTTTTTTTCTGGGCACAGACGCCAAGCGTTGGTGATTGCCTGACGCTTGTATTTAAAACTCCTCAGTGCATCAAACGATTTGCCATTATCAGCGGCTTCCCAGGAAAAACAAGCGACATGATTATTGGAGGAATTGTTGAGATTGGAAATAAACCTATACTCCTGGCAGAGGGCGACGTTTACTGTTCGGAATTAAGATATTTAGGGGAGATACATCATGGTAAAATCGATGTAAGTAATATAACTTCAGGTTCTGGGTGTGTTCAACCCGGAAGTAGAACCTCCTGTATCAAATTGACTTTTACTAAGAGACATACGGAATGGGTCGTGATAACAGAAATAGCGGTATTTACTTTTCATTAAGTTTACTTGAAAATGGTCTTAAAATCTAATAGCAGGTATTGTGCAATATAAAATACATTTTACAACACCCCATTTATATTTTTGGCATCTTAAATATACCTCTTCATCAAAATAATTCATTCGTGTATGTTGAGCTATCAACAGTTGACTTTCTGGCATTAGTTGTTCAGTGGGTGCTTAGAGTTATCCAGTGGTTAGGGAAAATTTAAATAAAAATAAAAAATAAAAATTCACAGCCTCTAATATCCTTTCACTGCTATAAATTTATTATGACAAATCAAATTTGTTTTGAGGGTGTTTTGTTGTTTACTAACCACTAGTGGAAGTAAAGCAACATTTGACCAACTGGCGCAAGGAGGATTTTTTTCATAATGTAAACATGATGTATTCACAAACTAACAATGAGTGCTTATAAGGCCGTTTCTTTCTTCGGACCTCTTGATATCCATATTTCCTTTTATTTTTTTCACCAATGCTACGTTTTATTTTTGCGATCTTATTTGTGCAGATGTTTGATTAAAAAAAGAGATTTACGGAAATAAATGATGTAGATTTTTTATTGTAGGATAACCAGCGTTTAAGAAACTGAAAATGTTCAACCCTTTTCTTCTCAATATATGGAAACTAAAATATAACTATATTTAAATAAAATATATAATGAAACTGCCTCAGTGGAGTATATTAAACATTTCTGGAATACGACAAGAAAGTTCACGGGTAATTTTAGATATGAGAAAAACATATGTACCTATCAATAATTTCTTTCGAAAGAGATATATTCACATATAATTTGTCAGAAGAATTGTCAATAAATTACGGTTGAAATATGTTTGGTACCTTAACCATTTTTAAAAAAAAGGCATTTTTATATAATAATGTGCTTCAAATAATCCACATTGTGAAAAGTCATGCCTACTTTACTTTACCTCTCTGAAACAACGTGCCTAAGGCAGGCAGCATCGTACCCTCCGGTCACATTACCGAGAACAGGTACAACAGTTGTTGGAATTAATGCTGAACATTGAGCAGGGAAAAACAACTAGCATGTATAAAGAATTTGGTCCCAACATGGGGACAGATCCCATTACCTTCTTCACTTGATAATACTTAAGTCAAAAGTGAGGTACTGCCAAGTAAGGCGCTAGGTATCTAAAAGGTCGTCGAGAATTGTACAGAAAATTCAAGGATCCCAAATGTTGAGTATATATGCACAGGTGTCTTCGACCACCCTGTTTGTAAATAATCTGATTTTCCATATGTATACATCCGAAGAAAAATGGTACAGAAACACAATGTTTTCACAAATATGTTTTTGGATAGTTGAGATTGGGGTGTGAATTTGCATGCTTTTTCGCAGGATGTGAAAGATAAATCAATCTAGCTGCCGTTTTGACTTGCCATAACTGTGCCAGGTTAAATAAGTGGTGTTTTTGTTTACTTTTCAACAGTTTTCTAGGACATTCTGCCACAAATTTACAACCTTTATCACCACAAGTCATAAAATAAACAATCATACCATCTAATTTAAATTGGAAGAACCTGTACGGGCGACCAGCAATTATGCTGTTTTCCTAAACCATTAGCAGATGACTTATTGTCGAGAATAAATTCTAAAGAAAGAAGGGTTTGTTAAGCAAAGTACAACTCGTTCAAATATGACTGCGTGTAACGTCATTTATTAGTTGAACAACACTTATATACACTAAGGGGAGGGAACTACTATTGACATTTGCCTACTTTCATAAGACAGGGTCTGTGTGGACGAATAGTACAGTAACACACAACATGGGTATGCCAATTTCATTCATTTTCAATGGTAATAAACTGAAAGGCTTATCAATTGCATTGAATTTAATGTCGTTTTGCAATTTTATTCGCCTATTCCGACTTTATAATGCTATCTCACTGAAATACCAAGCCGAAGGCATCCAGCAGGGCATTCCACCCGGTCACATTATACTGACAACGGATGAACACTGCAACAGTATTGGTTAAGCCATTATGAGTTATCGCCCTTGATGTGAAACTCTCCAATAGCGTTGGTAATAAAGTCAGTCTTAGTCCGCCATTCGAAGAGTTGAGTTCTCACTACATGGT